AAATTCCTGAGCTCAAACAATCCGCCCGCCTTGGCCTCCCAGAGTGCTAGGATTACAGGTGTCAGCCACTGTGCCCGGCCAAGAGACCCTGTCTCTAAAAAAAAAAGAGTATACATGTAAGACTATAATATAAGCACTCTTGCTTTGGGCAGAAACGATGGAAGACAAACACTTCTTTCAAACAGGAAACAATCCTGTTTGCAAGCGGCGTGGGATGCTTTCACACTGTTGTTCCAGATGTGGACCGCGTGCGGAACGCGCTGTGCACAGTCCGTGCTGGTGGGTGCAGGACCTGCCGCTACCGTGCACAAGGGCGACAAACGAGCAGGTGAGTGGCCAGGCCCACCTTTTCAGCAGGGAGGAAGCAGCTGCCCCATCTGTCAATCTATGTTCTAGTGCTACAGGCCAAGTCCCTGTCCCCACCTTGCCTGTAAATCATCGTGTCAATTGTCTCCATCAGTGAGATGCAGTGACGTGTGCACAGCCAACAGAGTGGGAAGGTCTGAAAGAAGTCCTCTTGTTATGCCACCACTAGAACTCAGAAACTCACACCTGACACTCTACAACACACCGCTGAGCTCACAGAAAGGACTGGAAAACAGTGAAGGAACGGGAGGCGAGGAAGGGGCACCAGGCTGCCCTGGGGAAGGCGACACAAAGCCTTGGCCCCAGAGGCAGCAGAACTGATCTGAGCGTCCACACTGAAGGCAACCTGGAAGGGAGCGACGTCTTCGGAAGGGCAGGCTATGAAAACTCCAACCCCCAGGTTGTAAAGGAAGGAAGGAAGGAAGGAAGGAAACCTTCCAGAAATGGAAGGGGGCCAGGGAGCAGTAACATAGCACATCTGTCCTGAGAACACACACTATGGGGCTGCAGGCCTACCCTCTCTCGGATCTGCAGCTCAAATCTCTGCCACCCGTGCCAGCAGAGAGAAGAGATACCCGTCCCCTGAGTATGCAGAAATGATGCAAATCCTCAGGCCCTGGTCTGCACACAAATCCACAAAACAAACAAAAATGAAAATATCAAGAAAATTAGCCACTCTGTGAGAGCTTCATCAGGAATAATAATCAGATGTAGACCACCCTCCCAAAGACTTCATATTATCAGAAAGATAATGTAAAGTAGCTACATACTATAAATATGTAACTATTCTTCCAACAAAAAATTTATTTTTAAATTTTAAATTTTAAAACTATCATATAAAATACTCAAAAAATTAAAGAGGGAGTCACAAAAATAAGCAATAAGAGACTATCAAAAATAACCACATAAGGCCGGGTGCAGTGGCTCACACCTGTAATCTCAGCACTCTGTGAGGCCGAGGCGGGACGGTTGCTTGAGCCCAGCAGTTTGAGACCAGCTTGAGCAACACAGTGAGACCCACCTCTACAAAATAAAACATAAAATCAGCTGGGTGTGGAGGTGCGTGCCTGTCATTCCAGCTACTCGGAAGGCTCAGGCAAGAGATCACTTGAGCCCAGGAGTACAAGGCTGCAGTGTGATCACACCACTGCACTCCAGCCTGGGTGACAGGGCAAGACTCTATTTCCCTAAAAAAAAAAAAAAAAGGTTAAGTCTTGGAACTAACTAAATAATTTAGACATTTTAAATATATATAATCTTGAGAATTAGAAACTGAAAGGATCGGTTAAACAGTAAATTAAAAATAAAGACTAGTAAAAGAAAACACTCATAGAAAGAAGAGGTGCCGAAACAGGGCAGGGAGGATGAAAGGGTCCAACGCCCACCTAGCTGCAGAAGGGAAGGAGAAGCCATGACCACAGGTCAGGAGGCACGACCAGCACCCAAGCACGAGAGGGGACAGGCAGCCACCTGTCTGTCTGCAGATACTCACATATGATTGACCGCACAGTCACTGGGTTAAACGGAGTCCACGTGCCTGAAAACAAACAGCACACGTTAAACCAGAAGAAAGGCATTGTTACAGGGAACTGTCAGCTCTTGGTCTGCAACTGGAGGCTCAGTGAAAGGCAGTCCTGTGCTCTAGAGCAGTGGTTCTCACGGGGCACAGCTCCAGGGGACACTCTGGATGTTCTGGCTGCCATGACAGAGCTCCAAAGCTTCCTGGTCAGGCTCTGGAGTCCTTCGTGTCCTGCTGAACATCTGAAGGTGTTGTAATTATCTGAGGCTGGCCAGGCGCGGTGGCTCACGCCTGCAATCCTAGCACTCTGGGAGGCCGAGGCGGGCGG